TATTTCATTTTCTTTACATAGAAGTAAGACAGGGTATTTTCTACATTCCTGTAATTTTCTCATGCATACTTCTCAAAGCACAGATCAGGAAACAAATTTCACTCTTCTTTAAATTTTCCCCACCCCCCCTTCTATCCTGAAATTTTTAAAATTACATTTTAAGTATTTAGTGTGTATGTGTATCCATGTGTGCCATGGCACATGTGTAGAGGTCAGAAGACAACCTGGGAGAGTCATCACTCTCTGACTACCATGTGGGGCCAGGGATTAAACTCAGGTTATCAGACTTGGCTGCAAGCACCTTTTCCTGCTGAGCCATCTTGCTGGCCCCATTCTTCTAGTAGAAAGTTTTTATCACCACCTTTTTACATTTGACAACAACAAAGTTCAGTCTACTTCTGATGCCAGAAAAATTATTCCAAAATACAATGATGATGAAAAATAACAAAGAAAAGTCATCACAAAAGTTGTAAAATGAAGCAACACAGAGTCAATAAATAGATATATACTTTTAGAGAGGCTTTTAAACATTCAAAATTATAATGACTACATTCCATATATTCTAAAATTAAATCACCCCATTTTTGTAGCACTGCCATGGAAATAGTATCATTTGAAATTATATTTGCAGCATATTTTCATATTTTCAAAGTCTCAATGTATATATAATAGTAGTAATTTTATTTATATAATTGGCTGTCTATTATATATATATATATATATTAAGTATACATAAAACAACATACTTAATAGTCATTTAACTTTCAAAAATATTTCATTGTATCCAGGCTTGGTAGCTCACACCTTTAATCTCAGCACTCAGCAGGCAGAGGCAAGTGGATCTCTATGAGATGGAGGCAAGCTTGGTCTACATAGCAAGTTAGGTCAGTTGGGGCTACAGGGAGAAACAAACAAACAAATAAAAAAAACACTCCAAAAAGTTTTTCACTGTATTTTTCACATTAAATGGGTAAGTCATAGTTCTAGAGGAGTAGGGAAGTGTTGAATGTGCTGTTGCTTTCACTGGTACATGATAGCATCCATAGGTATTTAGTGTTAAAAGTTATCACTATACTGAATTCCTACTAAGAACTAACAAAAAGAGTTCAATTAGAAAGTACAAGATAGGGGCTGGTAAGATGGCTCAGGAGTTAAGAGCAGGCACTACTCTTCCAGAGGAACCGAGTTCAGTTCACAGCACCTACAATAGGTGGCCCACAACTGCCTGTAACTCCAGCTCCAGGGGATCCGACACCTCTCACCTCTGTGGGTATCTGCATATGCTCATATACAGACACACAGACACATAATTTAAAATAATAAAAATAAATCACAAAAAGTCCAAGATATTACAATTCACCAAGAAAACGTAAGAGTTGTGGGTGATTTCCCAGACATTGGTAGAAAAGGTAGACTCCACAGTAAAAAGTCTTTATTTTTGATAGTTGGGTTCAAGTCAGTAAGTAACTTTGAAATACGGTAATTTTAGGAAGAAGAATGCATCTAATTATATCTTGTCTGTAACTTTCTAGTTTAATGAGGAAGGAACAAATGGAGAAAAATGTAGAGTATCCTCAGGTTTGAACAAAATGCAATTAACATTTGGAGAACTAGTGCTGAGAAATTTTATGAATAATCTGTATGATTATACATCTCTTGAGTAGACTTATAATTAACCACTTATAATATACTTCATGCTTATAAACTGTTCCCTAATGAATGGTTGGTTGTAAAGGCAGGAGGGCTTCTCAGGAAGGAAATAGATGACCATCTTTACAGGGAGTTGAGGGTTTTTAAAATTATTATTCTTTAACATTAAAAAAACACTGAAAGAATAAAAGAAAAATATTTTTTAACTGAGAGAGAGAGAGAGAGAGAGAGAGAGAGAGAGAGAGAGAGAGAGAGGAGAGTTGTATGTGTGGGTATGTGCACATGAGTACAGGTACCTATGGTGGCCAGAAGCATTGGATCCCAATGCTGGAGCTGAAGACAGGTGGTTGTGATCTACCCAATGTGAGTGCTGGGAACCAAACTCAGGTCCTTTGCAAAAGCAGTACATGTTCTCAACTGCTGAGCCATCTCTTCACTCCAACAGGGATTTTTAAAAAGAGCTGCAGGATGTCAATAGTTCATTAACGCTGCTGTGATTCTTTCTTGGCTTCAGTCCTTTACTGCACAGAGAGGCTTTGAGCTACTGTGGGTCTACAGGCTTTTGTTCCGGGCAGCTACAGACTACTCCACAAACAATAATAAATTTTTGAGTAAGGTATTTTTATACATCTTTTGATGCATACAAGTATTTTGAAGACTGTCAATGACTCTATACAAGAGAGGAAGCATCTAAATTGGCATCATGGATGAAGTGCATGGAATAGAGCAAGGGTTGTATATCTTAATGTTTAATAAAATCATGGCTTCTAGAAGATGACTGCCTGGACTTGTTCAGCCACTTATTTACTGTGTGACCTTGGGCAAATTTAGCTTGCCTACCCTTCAGTTTCCCCATATGTAAAATGAGGGTAATTACTTATTTCATGGAGTTGTTGTAGGTACTAAATGGAATAATACAAGTGCATAGAACCATGCTAAGTTATACACCGCCCCCCTTGTCCCAATGGTCATCAGTAAAATCCCACTCCACAGAGGACTGGTCAAGGCAACAAAGATTAGCTGACATGTAACGATTTGTGTGTAAACCTGACACTTTCACTGTAACTAAGAACAGTTCTAAACTCCTGGGATTGGTACTATATTAGAAATACAAGCTTTGGAGGCCAAATATTACTGAGTCCTTTCCTTGAATGACATTAATATGAAAGTGAAATTGCTCTATAACATGATAAAAGATGAAATATCATATATATTTCATGTCTCCAATATATTTTAAATTTTAAATAAAATTTCATGTTCATCTCTTTAATTTGTATGTTCACATAATCACACTGCTTTGTATAGTTAATTACAGTCTTCAGATCCCATCTTATGAAAAGATTTCTCCTACGCACCCCTATCTAGATGCTAATGTAATATGTTTCATCATCATAATAGATGTGTGTGTTTCTATCTTAAATTGGATGAATAATTAAAACGTTAAGCATCAGGGAAAAAGTATATCCATTGAATAATGTTAAAAGCTTTAAATTCTGCTGGTTTGCCAAGTATTTTGAACAATATGATTCATCTATATTGCTAACTACAAATATTTCTGCCTGATTATGTGATACAGTTAAAATAACAATACTGTTAAGTTGTGCAAAAGAGCACACACCTAAATTGTGACAATATATGGAGTACAAAAGTACATGTTGGCAAAATATGACATTTATGAAAACTGACTTGAAGAAAATCAACTAGTTTAGCTGAAATCCCATTTAACATGTTTCAAGCCTCATAATTTGATGGCACACTTACAATTGAACATGGAGGAAGTCATAAAAGTAATGGCATGAGTAGAAGAACTCTGTATGGCATTGGGGAACACCGCTGGTCATCACATTACGGTGACCCTCTCTGGGGAAAGATGAGGAATTGTTCCTCCAACACCTTCTTCTAGAAATTGGCTCTTTTCCCAGCCCTTTTTAATTCTTTTTAGCTTTCGGCTTACGCATGGAAGGAGTAAGATCACCTTACCCAGAATTACAATTGATGGCAAAACAAGAGCAAGAACGAAGTTTGGTGGTGTATAAAATCTGTAGTATTCTTCTTCAAAGGCTCGTTTCCATCCATAAATTAACACGTGGAAAGTACTAATGAGCAGAGCAACATAGCCAAGCGTAGACTTGGGACAGGAGAGGAAGAAAGAAAAAAAAAGGAGTAAGAAACAAATTACTCAAACTCACAAGTTAGCCAATGCAGACAAACTGTTTATGTTTTGTTCTAAATGATTGAGCTACTCTGTCTTCTGCTGAATTAAGCAGTTTAAGACAGATTCATAAATTTCATATATTCATATTTATATATGTTTATCTATTTTTTAGAAATTAGGCCATACTGCATACACTGAGTAGTCTGATTATTTCATTTTTTATATCAAGAACATTTTCATGCCATCAAAAATTAAAACATAGAGCCAGGTGTGGTGGCGCACACCTTTAATTGCAGCAGAGGCAGGTGGAGCTCTATGAGATTGAGGCCAGCCTGATCCATATGGTGAGTTCCAGGCCAGCTGGGGTTATGGGGAGACCCTGTCTCAAAAAGACCAAAAAAAATTAAAACATAACATTACTATTATATAATATTTTATTGATGATATGTTTGCTTGAATCATTCTTTTGTGCTGATCACTCTGATCTCAAATTCCTTTAACCACAAATAATATCACTTTAGGCCTTTTTATATTTTGGTTTATTTCCTTAGGACTGATTTCTACTACTGGGATTACTGATCAGAACATCTAACTTTTCCTTAAGAGTATTGATAGGCATGACTAAACTCTTCTTTATAAAGTTTGTCCAGCTGACATGTTAGCACATGCTTATAATCCCAGTACTAGAGAGGATGAGGAAAGAGGATTACAAGTGCAGTGCTGGCTTGGTCTACATTGTGAGTTTGTGGCCATCACGGACTATATATAGAACCTCTGTCTAAATAAAATGAGGGGTGGGGGTTTATCCACATTGCTACCTGTTGTATATAAAACAGTGTGTACATAAGCATTAGCATATTTGTATGCATAAGCACACATATACAACATTAAATACTGAAGTGTATTCTCATGAGTATGCATATATAGCATACATATATATATACTAGTCAATAACAAAATATGATAAAGCTCAAGAGTATTAATATGTAATATAAATAACAATTCAAACACGTGACTTACTGACCCTAGTAAATGAGATTACTAAGAGTACTTTAGTCATTTTACAAGTTAGATTTTAAAAGATGAGCATGTTCCAGTTCTCTATTGTGTTTAAGATTGCTTACTTTGACAACTGGTTTATGTTACATAAAAGTAATATTATATCAGTATAATGACGTAATGTCTGACTTCACTAGGAGAATAGGAGCTCTTTAGCAGTAAAAAGTTTGTAATTATTCATCTAAATTTATAATGATAATATGCATCTGTCTAGCACCATCTATCAGAAGGCATTCCATTTCTTTTCAGATCTGATCAAACTAGAGGTTGGAAAAATAGTCTCATTTTCTTCAAAAGGAAAAATGAATTTAGACAAGGGTTAAGCCCTTAATTTGAATAAGACTTTTGCAAGACTTAAAAAGAGAAGCAGTAAAGGGGTTATGATCAAAATACATTATATACATGCAAGACATTTTAGAAGAATAAATAAAAAACATTATTTTAAAAACCCTCAAAGAGCTGGAAAAATGACACAGCTGTTAAGAGCACTGTCTGCTCTTTCAAAGGACCTAGTTCAGTTCTCAGCACCCACATGGTGGCTAACAACCATCCATAACTCCAGGGCCAGGGGTTCTGAAACCTCTGCTGGCCTCTGCAGGCATTGCTCATATATGGTGCACTTGCATACATGCAGACAAAACACTCATACAAATAAAAATAAAGTTAATTTTCAAAATTAGTTTCAAAATAATAAAATAAAGTTTAAAACCCTAAAATACATAAATAAAGATAAAACTTGGTGTACCACCAAATCATACTAATGTATATATTGTGTTATAAGCTGTTTGGATGAGCAAATATAGGTTTTGTGATTATACAGATAAAATCAAAATTTTATATATATTTAAAATATTCAAGTATGTACACATATTAGTGAGGAATGTGAACATTTTACTTTTTAAATATTTTTATTGAATTTTAAGAATCACATACAATATATTCAGACCCCCTCCCCTATCTGCACCACCTCCCATTACTACCCTCCCACGTGCCTGTTTTCACGTCCTCTATTTTTATTTTTTTAAGGGCCTATCATGCCTAATTTGTGTCCCCAAATTTCCTTTGGTGTGAGTCCATCCCCTAGAGCCTGGTCAACCTACCTAGCATCACACCCTTAAATAAAAGTGACTCTCCTCCCACTGGCTCTCCATTGTAATAGTTCCTCAGCTAGGGCTGGGACTTCTTACTCACTCCCCACTGGTATGCTGAGCATTTGTTTGGTTTGACTTTATGTAGGTCTTGTATATTGTACATGCTGACACAATTGCTGTGAATTCATATGAGTAACTGCTCTACATTCTGGAAAACACTGTTTCCTTGTAGTTATCCACCACCTCTGGCTCTTAGAATCTTTCTGCCCCCCTCTTCTGCAATGATACTTGAGCCTTGGGAGGCAAGGACCTGATATATATAAATCATATATATATATATTTAAAATATACAAGTGCTATACAGATATTAGTGGGGAAGGTAAACGTTTAACTTTTTAAAGAACACAAATATGTTGTGAAATATCTTAACAAGATACTCTTACATATTAGTTTATGATTGACGTAGTAAAACATTAACAAGATTCACAAATCTACTTGCTTGTGACAACATTTTAACCTACTTACATAGTTTGACAGTGCTTGTGATTGTGTATATGCATGTATATTCATTTGACTGATAAACTGCCTTACATCATTAAATTTGATCTAAATATAATTCTCTCCTGCTTTTATTTATTTTTTATTTATTTATAAAAATCTTATTTATTATTTTTATTCTATGTGTATGAGTGTATTGCCTGCATGGAGATAGATGCACCTGTGTCATGCAATGCCTATGGAAGAGGGTGTTGGATCCTCTGGAACTGGAGTTAAGGACGATTAGCCACCATGTGGGTGGTGGGAATTGAACCTGGGTCCTCTGTAAGAGCAGCCAATCCTCTAAACCCTACCTACTTTTATTCTTTAAATAACCTTTACACTTAATATATAAAAGACCATGTAATGTGTGATGATGGCGCATGCCTTTAATCCCAGCACTCAGGAGGCAGAAGTAGGCAGATCTTTGTGAAATATGTGTGTGTATATATATATATATATTTGGGATACATATACATATATATGACAGTGCTATCAAAGCCTTCTAATATAATGATGTAATGATGTACTGGACTTTCACTGAGTAAACCAGACTGGTCCCAAACTCTAGCAATATGCATGATCTAAGCTAGGATGTGTAAATATAACCCCAAAGGTACTCTTTTTAAAAGGAACATAATTAAAAGTCAACTTTACTGAACAATGAAATTCTATGCTGTTCAAAACCCCACATACCTGAATAAAACTGAATTCCCTCCAATTTAAAGCATTGCTTACAGAAGGTATGGAAGTGACGGCCAGAAGGGATAGTAAGCCCAGGCTCATGATGCCAAAGGAAATGTACATTTCAATTCTCCAAACCTCTTCCTCATTCCATGAGTTTTCAATATTTGCATGAACCTAACAAGAAAACAAATGTGAATTTCCTTTACTTGGTAGAACATTAACTGATTCCACACAGTTTACTTTAGCCTAAGAAGAACTAGGTCATATATGAACACATTTAAGTATTAATGGTATTAATTCAGTTTCACAAACCATTGTGGAGAACCCATTAGTTCAGCATTACTCCAGCTGCAGGGAGAGAGGAAGGGAATGCTCAGTGAAAAACAGACTAAGAATGCTTCCTTTGCAAGTGTGTGAGAAGAGGGGCAAAGCTATGCCAATGCACTCACAATGGTCACTGCTGCAGAGACTCTGGAGTCTAAGGCTGTGGAATGCCAGCTGCCTGGCTCTCGAGTGGCAGAGAAGTATTAGTAGTTGGACTTACTACTGACAGTTCTGAGGAACTTTCACAAGTTAATATAAAGTTGGCTGAATATTCTGGGTTCATTCTAAGTTATCTTAGAAGCCAGCATAGCTACCTTACTTACCCAGTGTTTCTCTCTCTCTCTCTCTCTCTCTCTCTCTCTCTCTCTCTCCTCTCCCTCCTTCCCTTACCTTTTCTTCCTTAAAACCAGGATTTCCTGAGAATAAACTTTTATGAAGCAGAAATGTCTGTCCACTTGCATTCCCTCCATAATCCTTCCAAACTCCAACAGCCTTATTCATATGCAGTATTTTTCCAAAAATCCTTCCCTTATATCCTTATAGTGATAATGCATATTAGTCAAGTCAGACTTAACTATGAATTTACAGTAATTTGCATAGTGACTACTTCTAGAATTATCTCTTTATCCACAAACAATATAATTAAAGCATAAATCAAAGGCTATACTCCTTCAGCTGAAATTTTGATTTAAATATATATCTACAGATGAAAAAAGCACATTCTTTTTATAACATTTTATTTACTGTTTATTTTATGTGTGTATTGCCTGCATGTATGTAAGTACACCTGTGTCGTGCAGTGCCCTCAGAGGTCAGAAGAAGACATTGGCTTCCCCTTGGAACTGGAGTTACAGACTGTTGTTAGCTGTCATGTAGGTGCTGGGAATTGAAACTGGGTCCTCTGCAAGAGCAGCCAGTGCTTTTAACTACTGAGCCATCTCTCCAGCCCCAGAAAGCACATTCTTAACACCATCTTTGTCCGGTTTCAAGTTAACAAAACATACTTAGAAGTTTTTTAAAAGCCATTTCTTAGCTATTAGTTCTCTGGAACAATCCTACTAATATCTTGAGTTTCTGGAGCTCCAGTAGTGAAAGAAACTCTTATCATATTCCTGTCAGCTGTCTAGACAACCATACAGAAGAGCAGCATGCGTTGGTGCATCTAGAGAGCACAGCCGGGACCTACCTTCCCTCCCAGTCTACTCATTCATCCCACAAATATGGTGAGTGGCTACAGTGTCTAGGCACATTTCTAGGCATCTGCCAATCCCAGAGACCCTGCTCATGCACTTTACCATCTGATGGGAGAAGATGGACAGCAACAAATATAACAAGCAAGGAAAATAAAATATGTGGGACAAGTGGTAAAAAGTACAGCAGCATAGGTAAGAGGGCCTAGGAGTACAGTGGTTTGACTGGAGGCAGGTGACAGAATTGAAAATGGGGTCCAACACAGGCCGCATGGCAAGAATGAGATCTGAGGAAATGAGTGAAGGAAGTGAGGGGCTGGATGAGCAGGTGTCAAGTGCACCCAGTTTAAGGTAAGTGGCATTTTCAGAGAGCAAATGGCTTAAAGGACATCAGGCTTTTAGCTTCTAAAAGTTTTTTTAGGTTTTAGTGCTCAAACAAGGTTAAATACTTGATGCCACATTCTTGGAGCACAGAACCTTGACTTCTGAAATGCAAATGTGTTTCTACATTTGTTTTAGTGCAGTGTCTTTTGTGCTTTCATTGAGAAAGGCTGTATCAGCTTCTGTGAAAACCCTTATTGTATATTTGTGAAATGGGAATTAGTCAGATAAATCATAGTGTGCTTTGTCAAGGTTCTAGAAAAGCTTCATCAGAGGAACTTAGCCTCTTTTCTGCACTTTGATAATAAGAGCCTTGTAAGTAAGCTGCTGCTTTTTTATTTTATCAATACTCTTAAAGCCAAAATAGAAGTTGTACAGAGACTTGGTTAACAGAGCAGCATTCTATTTTCAGATTCAGATCTGGATTTCTAGATTTTACAACTTCATTGGTTCTAATTTTACTGTTTGTTGAGCTGCCTTTCATTTATGGACCATAGCCAATTATAAAACATTTAAATAATTGTTAACAATGTTATTGTTCAGTGGTGGAAACAGTCCTTGAAATGGCAATTATAAAAGAGGACAGGGCCCCCAAACAAACTGTAGTTTATCTATTTGATTTCTGCAAGGAAGGGGATGCTAGCTGCTTTTATACTAAATGGTTTTGAATTAGCCACACGTGCTAGATAGCTTCAGGTGTCAGCTTGACACATCTGGGAAGAGGGAACCACGTTTGGGGAGTTTTCTCTATCATACTGTCCTGTGGGCCTGTCTGTGAGGCACTTTCCTGATTGTTGAGTGATGTAGGAGGGCCCAGCTCATTGTGGGTGATGCCTCCCCTGGGCAGATGGTCCTAGGTAGTATAAGAAAGCAGTCTGAACACAGGCCAGAGAAGCAGGTCAGCAAGTAGCATTTCTCGGTGGTCTGTACTTCAGTTCCGGCCTCCAGGTTCCTGTCTTGAGTATCTGCTTCAGTTTCCCTTGTTAATGGGCTGTGAGCTGTAAGCCAAATAAACCCTTTCCTCTCCAGGTTAGTTTTGGTCAGTGTTTCATCACAGCAATAGAGAAACCAAAGTAGAACACTACATAAGCTACATTATTCTTTTGCAAGACAATTGTTTAAAGAACAATTTGTTCCTGTCTCTAAATACAGCAAAGGAAAAATTTCATTATGAAATATATAAAAATTTATATTATTTTAACTCATGTTTTACAATGCATACTAATAAAGTATTTCACGAGAATTAGGAATAATAACCATGTTTAGTACCTGCTGATAAGCCATGTTGAGAAACAAGTATCTTTCTGACCTTCTCATTGGTAAGCAGAGGCTGTAGGCAACGTGGACAACAGCGAAGAAAAAACTTAGCAATCCAAGCTGTTTCCTGCACTGTAACCAGGTCTCCAACCAAGGTGGAAATTTCCGGTACTTGGTACCATAATAAAGCTGATAAGCAGCTGCCAGGAGGCCCGCTAGGTATACCAAGGACAGTAAAGTAATGGCAACTATAGGCAAAGTTTTGTTCACAATCTCAATGGGGATCTTGTAAAAGTCACTCTGCTGGTTTTTCATATATGGATGTATCACATCTCTGACAAAGGAATAAAGAAAGAAAAATGTGGCCAAGCTTATGGCTACCACCACTGGCCCTCTCCAGAGAGTAAACAGTTGCAGGGGTAAATTTTCAATCTCCTTGGCTGATGATAATGATCCCAAGTCAACAGGAATGAAATTCAATTGACGGGCAAGTTCAATAACCTGTTGTCGAGCTTGGATATTGTTGCTGCATATATAAACCTGTGAGAAAAAAAGGCTCATTGTTACCACTGCTATTTATAAAAGTAGGAATGATCACATACTGTACTGAATCCATGCTCATAATGGCCTTGAGTGCTGCTAGTGATAAAAGCTGAGGAAAAGCAATTATTATTTTAAATTATTAAAGACATTTAAAATAGTGTCTAGTGTAGATGCTATTAACAGTTTTAAAACAGTATTATACCAATACATTATTCAATTAAAAATATCACACAATGATTAACTTTATTAATATTTTAAAAGATATAAAATAGTACAATAAAAACAAAAAATCTCTGCCACCTATGGTAGTGAAAACAATGTGCAAGAAGATCTAGCTGTAAGCTGGGAGCCTCAGATGGGTCCTCAGAGAAGGGAGGCAGGGAAGGAAAGGTAGACTTTTCTAGGGCACCCAGGTCAATAGCAGTGGCAAGGGAAGGCATTCCTTCCAGGGGGGATGTGGAATTCCAGCTGGTGGCCATGTCCTTCCAACCTAGCCTTCTAACTGCCACAGGGGACAGGGTAGGTCTGTATCTCCTTGCTTTCATGGACAAATTTTTGTTCTAGGAATGTAGTGATTCTGTCTTAACAGAGTGACCACAAGCACTGTCCTTTACAGATACTCAACAAGAGTGCAGATGGGTATGGACTCTGGGTGGTGACATTTGCAGTTAAAATCTATACATTATGTCATGACACTATGCTCCTTATTAAAATGTATCTTTAGGTTTGGAAGCCAATTCATTAAGTGTCTTTGTAAAACCTATGGATAATCTCAGGTACACCGTTTCATGGTCAGCATATAAAATTTCTTAATTTTTCAGTAATGATGGCATTCCTTACAAGTAGAAAGATAATTCTAGGGGCAGGAGAGATGGCTGAGTGGTTAAGAGCACTGGCTGTTCTTGCAAAGAACGTAATTTGAGTTCTTAGCACCCACATAGAAGCTTTAGTTATAGGGAATCTGATGCCCTCTTCTGCCTCATGGGTATCAGGCACATGGTACAACATACACATATGCAGGCAAAATACCCAAACACATAAATAAAAATAAATGTGAAAATAAAGATTCTATAAGGCTTAGTTAAATCAAACAGAAAGCTAGCTGCCATTTTCTTAGACTAATATATCATCCCCATAGGAACTCTAATGATGTTATAGGTAGGGTGAGGAGGCTTTCAAACTATAAAACCTCTTTGCTACTATAACATAGCTGAAAATTCAACAGCTATTTATTGAGCTCCACTGCTAGAGTAAGCTACTATTATGAATAAGTAGATCATCTCACTCAGTACTATAAAAATATTGGTACAAGGACTCTAGTAATATTTGAGGAAAACAAATTTCTAAATATATCACTGAAGATGTTTGTGTAAGGGCTCTGAAGGAGGCCATACTGAGGTGTTGCATGCTGAACCTATTAAGATGATGATGACAATGCAGAGCTCAGCTTTGGGTATAGATCTCAGCTGAGACTATGCAGCTGCTGGCACACAAATATGCATGGATTTCTAAAGTAGAAGTCTTTTGATACCAAAGAAATAAGGACAGCATTCACATTCACTAATATGTTTGTAAAATGGTGAAGCAAACTGTTATTTTTCTTATGTGGAGAAAAGTCTATAAATCACAACATTATAATAAATCTAGAAGTATAAATTACACATTCAAAAATAAGGGCACAAGCATCGTGAAGTTCAAATTATACCATTCTTGTCATGATAGAGCTTGTAGTTCATTTTGAAATTGAATTTAATCAGCATTCAACAAGTCTTTTCTGTTAAAAAATTAAAATGATCATGAATATGAACAAGGGATTATGTCAAATTTGGCTCATAGATCCTGACTTGAGTTTGCCAAACTTCAGAGGATGTGTTAAAGGAAAAAAAAAAAAAAAAAAAAAACGTTCAGGGGTGGAGCGATGGCTTGGCAGTTAAAAGCACTGGCTACTCTTACAAGAGGACCTGGATTTGAGTCCTAGTACCCACATGGCGGCTAACAACTGTCCATAGCTCCAGTTCCAGGGGATTTGATGCCTTCTTCTGATCTCCATAGGTACTGCATGATATGGGTACACTTACATACATTCAGGCAGTACACTTACACACATAAAATTTAAAAAATAAAAAAAGATTCAGAAACAGTCTCCAGTCTCTAGAGGCTAGAGGTATAGCTCAGTGGTAAAGCACTTACCTAGCATGTGCAAGGCCCTCTGTCTGATTGCTAGCACTGTATAGTGGGAGTAGTCTTCAGGAAAGTGCATACTGTTTTAGTGTTTATAATAAATACTTGAATCAGGCATGGTGGCTCATGCCTGTAATCCCAGTGCTTACTTGGGAGGCTGAGGAACAGAATGCCACAAATTTGAGGTCAGCCTGGACTAGTGTGAGACTCAATCTCAAAAAAATAAAAGAGAGACTGAGAGTCTAACTTGGAAGTGAATGGTTACTGTGATAATCTTGTCATTATGGTTGGATTTAAAATCACCTAAGAGATGGTACAGCATACCTCTGGGTGTGTCTGTGAGGGCATTTCCTGAGAGCATTCTGAGGGAGGAAAAACCCACCCTGAAGGTGGTTCTATCATCCAAGGACTGGGGGCCAGAACTGAATAAAAAGATAAAAAAGAAAGCCAACACAATCTGTTTCCCTGCTCTCTACCCTCTGTGACATAAATTCACTAATTCTGCTGGACTGAACCTCTGAAACTATTAGCAAAATAAATCCTTATTTCTTAAATCCAGGTACTTTGATCACAATAACCAATACAGATATCATGAACGTGATATATAGTGCACAATAATAATAATTTTATTTTCTAAGGAATGTAATTAACTGCCTTTATGGACAAAAATGATATTATTTTACCACAATGCTCACTTTTAATATTTAAGCAAACTTTTGAGAGATTTTTAAGTACATTATTTGTTTTCTCATACACTTATTCTACTGGCATTGGGAGAATTTGCCATCTGCTTCATTCACAAGTTGAACTAGATAAAGTATGATCCACAGACTTATATCCTTAGAGTAAATCTAAGAAATCCAGTGTACCTTTGCCTACCCCACACAATTTAAATTGATGCTTAAAATGGACTCTACTGGGGCTGGAGAGATGACTCAGTGGTTAAGAGCACTGGCTGCTCTTCCAGAGGACCAAGGTTTAGTTCTTCGCATCCACATAGTAGTTAACAATCATCTACAACTACAGTTCCAGGAGATCCAATGCCCTCTTCTGGCCTCCGAAGGCACCAGGCACACACATGGTACACTTACATGCATGCAGGCAAAACACTCATATACATAAAATTAATAGAAACTCAAAAAACCCAGACTCTACTATTTTATATGCTATGAATATGCAATTTGTATAAATACAAAGGTTTTTCTAAAGGGTTCTTAAGGATAATATTAAGTCCAATTTCATTTAGCGATGAAATACTATATTACCAAGTATCTAAAAGAAGGCAGAAAGGAAAAGAGAGAGAAGGAGGGACAGAAGAACAGAAAGACAAAACTGTTTCTAGTTTCTAGTTGTGAAGAATTCTGGAGGGCATAATGTAATGTGTCATGATACTTCAGCCAGTATCACCTTTTCTTTAACTGGTTATGACAGAAAAGTTCATATCATTTTATCAGATTTCCACATTATTTTGTGAAGAGAAATGCACCCTTATAAGATCAAGATGTTAGACTTCAGATGATCTTGCATAGTCTTCAAAGTAATCATTAAAGTCCTTTAGAACTTGGTTTGCTCAATTACAAAATAGCAGATATAAAATAAAGCTTAAGACTACATACCTGACGGCTGGCATCCTTGGGTCCTAACTGAAGAGCCCAAGCCGAGATAACATTAAATCCTTTGACAATCAAGGAATCTGGGAACAATGAAGCCAGATACTCAGCATTGGATTCTGGGTATTGGTTTACCCTCATGTTGTTGCTCACATCAATCAAGATTTTGCCCACAAGCAGGTGTCTCAGGTCCCACAGGGAGGTATAATGTTCTCTATGGATAGCCACAAATATTATATTTGTTTTTGTTAAAGCATCCTCATGATGGGTGACATCTACCACATGAGGAAAAAATTCAGATGCAAACTTAGGATTTCTGCTTCCTATGACCACGTGATAGCCACACCTAATAAGCCGAATGGTCAGAGACTTGGCAAAATCCCCACTTCCAATTACACCCACAGTGACTTTCCTTGCATCTTTGATACCATTTATGCCATTAGGCAAAAAAGTCTCACTCAGGCTTTTAGGGCTTCCCATCATAGAGATGGATTCCATGGTAGGAACTCTTTCAAGATCACCAGGAATGTCCTAGAGGAGAGAAAAGAAAGTGTTAGCCAATGACCCATTGCCAAACATTAAACTACTTGTAGACATGGTAATTATTGTCTCTAGAAGCACAATTTTAAAAAACATTTTATTTATTATTTTTATTTTATTTGTATGAGTGTTTGCCTGCATGTATGTGAGTGTACTCATGTGGTGCAATGCTCCTGGAGGTCAGAAGAGAGCATCAAATTCCCCTGAAACTGGAGTTACCGCTGGTTGTTAGCTACCATTTGGGTCCTGGGAATTGAACCTGGATCTTCTGCAAGAGCAGCCAGTGCTTTTTACCACTGAGCCAACTCTCCAGCCCCTAGAAGCACAATTGTTTTGACATGCTATATAACCTTGAACAAAGCAAGGCACAATCTGAAAGCTAGAGAAGATCTCTAAACAGAAGAATTAACAGATAGTTAGTTGATCAGCTAGAGTGGGGCTTTGCAAGTACGCACAAATCACTTGGGAATTTTAAGATGTAACTGTTGTTCAGTACGTCTGGAGGGAGGCGCAGAGTCTTCATTTCCAATGAAGTGGGTGTGAATGCTGCTGGACTGTGTGGACCCTCCCTGTGTAGTAAGGCCTAGAGCAAAGAAGACATTTTACTCAATACGTATGTCAAAAACACAGTTCTAGCAAGCGTGTAATCAGCAGATCAGACAGCAAACTAGAAATGATAGATCCTAAGACAAAAGAAGGCAAAAAACATGCAAAATGAATCACCGAGTAATACAACCAAAACTGTCCGACCATTTGGGGTACAGCCTATGAACTACCCTTTATACTTGATTAACTAGAGATTTTAAATGCAACTAAGAAAAACTAGCCAGTAATAAAATGAACACTGCTACTTAAACAATATTAAAGAAAAACTGGCATCAAAATATAGCTAATGATTAATTAAATACTAAAGATATCTATCGTTCATGCTATGTCTCCTAACACAGCTTCCCTATATAAGAGGGTTTAGTAATGTGTTTATGGTTTCAAGTAATAGAACTTGAGTAATCTTTTTCTTTCCCTTTTCATTCATTGGCTGCAAAGACAATGATGCATTTATTCTTCCTGGAAAAAAACTGTCACATTATTTTTAATTTAAGTGACTTTATATTCGTAATAACTTGTTCAAGAATACAAATTGGATTTCCATGAATCAGTGTCACTGCTGGCTCTGAATGAAAAGTACTATTCCATTCTGCCACCACTGCACAATTTCTTTCATGTTAACAGCAGATGTAGATAATTTCAGAAGATTTAATGGATTTTACAGGCATTGGTGAAATGTTTCAAAAAGCCTGGCTTGGGCTGAAGAGATGGCTTAGTGGTTAAGAGCACCCAGATTCAATTCCTGTCACCCACAGGCTGGTTAACAACTCTCCATAACTCCAGTTCCAGGGGATTTGATGCCCTCTTTCTGGTCTTTGTGGGCACTGTACGACATGGATGCAGGCAAAGCACTCATATACATAAAGTAAAAAAAAAATTTGAAAACTAAAGTATTTTTTTCCTTTTCTTTTTACTAAATGAAATGTGAAGTTATTGGAGTTAGGAAAATTCAACTCTTTACCCCAGAAATGGATCACATTCGATGAACCTAAATACATTAATAAACTTAACTTTAGAAAAATAATACTAGTAGTAATATTGTCTAATTTTTATATAATACAGACTTCAGCTCTGTCTGGTATTTTACACATTTTAACCAAATCGATACAACTGCCCCCATGAAGTACATTCTATTGTCATGCCCATTTGCAGATGAGGAAATCGAGACAAGAAGACCATTCATTTTCCAATGTCATCTGAGAACAAGTGGGAGAGCCAGGATTAGAATCTAGGCAGTCCAGCTAAGGCATGTGTCATTGCATGGATGGAAGATTTCAGAAAGCTTTGTTGTCTTTGGCCAGAGAGTGGCTGTGGGAAAAGGTAGAGGAGTCACAGTTATGTTCATATTCACAATAGTGCTGCTTCTTTGCTGCCTCATTGTTCCTCAGCATTACTTAATGATCCTAAAGTCTAACTGACATCCTGTGAGGGAAGAAAACTCACTACCTTTACCTCTACTACATGTTTCATTCTATGCCTTTCAAGACAGAAGGTGTGGTATCTGTTTTCCTTTAAAACAGTCCTATGCTCTCAGAAAGCCAGAGGGTCCTAGGCAACAAATCACCACCTTTCCTAGAGTATCACTGAATAGCTTGGGAATCAGGAGGACCACAAGTTACTAAACCAATGCTCATTTCATTTGACAATTAAGAGTGAAATGACTAACTTATCTTCCCTTAGTTATATACACATTATCTAAGGGTAAAAAGGAGTTAACTAGATTCATACACAGAAGCCCGAGTTTCCTTATCATAACCTGGAGCTATTATAATATATACTATAGTGCCTCTCAAGATGTAAGAATTGCAAAAACTTTCAACCTAATAATCATGATGATAAGGCCTTTTTAAACTAAAAATAAATCACAAAGAAAACAGTATCACTTACCTGCTTATTCTTTAAGTATATGACAAGTTCAGACCTTTCTAAGTCAGAGTGTGAAGAGGTACATAAATACCTTAAGGCCTAATAATGTCACCAATGGCCTCTCATTAAATCGCATATTTATATATATTAATGTATAACTCTTGTCTAACATGTTTGGACCTTATTCACATAGTATTCCTAATGGCAAGTTCTAACTGGAATTTTTAATAGTGTGGCTGTGGCAAGGAACAGAAATTGGCCTAATAAATGAGACTCATTATAGCGTTAAGGAATGTGTGTGTGCTGATTTATTTTATTTTATTTTTATTTATGTGTATGTGTTTTCTCCAGTGTATACCATGTGTATTTGGGTGCTTGCAGAGGCCAGAAAAGGGTTTTGGATCCCCAGGAGCTGAAGTGATAGGCAGTAGTAAACTGCCAAACATGGGTGCTGTTAATTTAATTCAGGTTCTCTGGTAGAGCAGCAAGTATTCTTAACTGCTGAGCCACCTCTCCAGCCCCCAAAGACATTTTTGTTTCATTTATTCTTTTTTATGTATGCACACATGCTACAGTGCATGTGTGGAGGTCAGAAGACAGCTTTGGTAAATGAGTTCTGTCTTTTCACTGTGGGCTATAGGTATCCAACTCAGATTGTCAGTCTTACATGGCAAGCACTTTTACCCACTGAGTCATCTTGCCAGTCTGAGTGATCTTTAATGGATATGAAATGTTTACTGCTGAAAGCATATGCCATATTTGTTTGCTATTTCATAGCACATAGAGGATTTTCATGCATATTATTATCTTTCTAAATCCTCAAATGAGTATATGATCCCTCATCTTAAAATAAAGAAGCCCTAAGGTGTTTGCCTGAGAGTCAAGTTTGTAGTGACAGCAAGGATTCAAATAGAAATCCAGGGTATGGTGATGTACACCTTTAATTCCAGCACACAAGAGGAAGAGGCAGGAAAATATCTGTGAGTTTGAGGCCAGCCTGGTCTACATAGTTAGGTTCCAGGCAAGCCAGGGCTATATAATGAGACATTGTCTTTAAATTTAAAAAAAAAAAAAAAAAAAAAGAAAGGAAGTTTTCTAACCTGTTCTCTTTCTGGGGCCGCGAAGAAAATATTT